GTGAAGAACGCGTTAGACGAAAATTGATGTATCTTTGCTGCGAACGAGAATAAGAGGAATATAGGTTCTTTTAACGAGAACCAAATAGGTATGATACTCGCCTCACTGGAATCTGTGGTATATGGAAAAGAGCAAAAGAAAGAGAAGGGAACCGTGTGAGTGTTACGAGAGGAGAATTGATACGACAATTCGTACTTCGCTTACCCACGGTATACTTGAAGCGAAGGGCGCCCAAGCCACAGAGAGACGGGAGACGCGTAAAGACCGCTGATAGAGGGGAATCGGTGTTACTGCGGGGATTAGTGGTATGAGAGACTGGTATGTCGATTGTGAGCAGCATGCTGCTTAAGTTGTACGCGAAGGCCACGATTGTGCGACTGTTACAACGCTGACGCGTGTAGAGCCGAGCATTGCGGTGATAGTAGTCTCGAAAGTGAGCAACGCTTATACAAGAAAACGTACTCACTGAATATATCCGGACATTCGACGAACATTGAATGCTCCAATAATTTTCATTTACGATGACCTATTTAACTCCGAGATGTTAATACGATTTAACATGATGTTCTTTCAGAGTTCATTGTAAATTGGTACAATTTCTTGGAAAATACGGATGTGAATGACCCAATCGTGATGGAAACTTTGCAGAAACGACTAGCGTCCAATTTCTTCATCTCCAGTTAATCATTTGATAAAGTTACCTGGATCATAATTGCTGCTCTATCTTTTCTGAGCTACGGTCTGCAATGCGGATAGAAAGTTGAGATTAACTAACGCTGAAAAAAAAAACGGACTGTAAGTGAATCATAACAAGTGATGTGATTCTCGCTAGACGAGACTCTTTCGTAAGATTTGCCGCTGGTAACAGGTGCACTCGGAAGAAGAAGCGCGCGAAAGAAGGCGAATACGAGGAGGAAGCAAAAAAGTCGAAGAAGAGGAAGAGAAGGAGAACGCAGAAATCGGTCGTCGAAAGAGTAGCGCGCGAGCAAGGTCCCCTACGGCGATAAGGCGAGGCCCGGGTATCGGTGGAGGGAACGTATGTATCGCGCGGGGCCGGTCACGCGGACCGGGCCCGCCGCCGCCGCTGCTACTCGTGAGAGATCGCGCGCTGACCCAGATTTCGGCAGGTCAAACCGGCGCGAAGAGGCTGCGGCGGACTTTCTGAAATGGGACACGGCACAGCCTGGAGCTAAATTAGCCGCGATGTCCAATAAGAGTAAGTCCCAGTCGCAGCAGCAGCAGCAGCAGCCGCAGCCGCAGCATTATCAGCAGCAACAGCAACAGCAGCAGCAGCAGCATTCTCCGCACGTGATCAAGCCAGTGGACCAACTGCCGCCGCGCTATCAGCCCCCGCCGCAGCCTACCAGCGGCATCCTGAAGAACCATCTACACTTCACCAACGGAGGTACATCGGCGCCAGGCTTGGCTCAGGCCGGCAGTAATCAAGGTCCAGGCGCGACCTTGAACCATCATCAGACCACGCAGCCGCGCACGTTGCCGCCGCCCCCGCCGTCTTCGCAGCATCATCAGCAGCAGCATCAATCGCAGCAGCCAACTCAATCGCAGCAGCAATCGCAGCAGCAGCCACCATCGAAGGATGCGCAGAGCAAGTACTCGCCGAGGATAGAGCATCACCATCATCATCCCCAACCGGGTAATCCGCTGATCGCTGCCGCATCGGCGGCAGCGTCTAAGAGTCAACAACAGCCGCAGCCATCTACCTACCTCCAACAGACTAAGCTCGGCCAAGGTCAATACTTGCCACCCAGCAGTCAGTATCCGGCGGTGAACAACGGCCAGAACGCGCCGGTCAGGCAGAGGATCAGCGACGACGAATTTCTGCGACTCGGCCCTGTGGAGATGCTTAAGTTCGTGCGGAAGACCGAGAGTGACATCGCTAGGCTCGCCGCCGAGCAGAATCGCCAGATACAGAACTTGGTGAGTTCTCCTTGGTAGATTCTGTAATTTTGTGTAACATAAATGACCGAAAAATTAACGAGATTTAATCATACAAGTTTATACATGATATCAGACTTGGAACTCGATAACTCAGTAGTGCAATTTGAAAAGTTTTCTGTTGTAATTATCTATGCGATATATAAATTTTACCCTTATAAATTATTTGAATACGAATTTGGACTAGGAGTTTCTGAATTTTTAAAATTATTAATGTTATTCGTATATTTTTAGGAGACCTAAATTAACAGCCTGTTGAACTCTACTTAGAATGTCATAACTGCAAAACGCAATTTTGAATTTCGTTTACTATCGTTTTTATATAACGGTTTGCGATAAATCCGTTACAATTTCTAATCATTAACCAGAAGCTAAATTGCAAATAGAACCTGCCTTGCAAAGAACCAGAAAATCTTGCGTTTTTTTTAAGAGGTCATGATATAACTCATGATATCAATAAAACGTTACGTTAACAATATTTCGTTACATCTTCGAGATGTAGGATGCTGTTTGCTGTCCTTGAAATCTTTAGCACGCTATACGGAAGTTTTTGAGGAGCTCTTGTAGGTCATACACAGATTGAACCGACCGTCGTAATTTCAAACAGTCACGCATACGTGAGATAAAACGCAAACGATCACGTGGACAATCGGTTTCCTCTGGCCAGCAAAATGCTTGCCAAAAGTACGCGGTCGGAATTGGTCACGCATGGCTCGCACACGTGTGATGAATAGGTGAAAGGCTTTTTCTCAGCAATCGGTGTGTACCGCGGTGCGAATGCGTCATCTGCGGCGATCAATGACTCTGTTATTTCTCTGACTACAGGCACGCGAATTAATAATATGTTACAAAACATATTCGGCTACAGAAGATATATCGATATCACCTATAAAAAATATAGATTAAAAAAAAACAATATATTTGAATAGCTATTTACAGTTATAAATCCTTTTAATAGATTTTTGAATAGTGTTATCTACGATAACAAATTTTGATTCAATTTACAATCGATTACCAAAAATATTCAGCTGAATGGAAAATCTGTCATTATCATCTATAAAAATATAAATACAAAAGACTAGAATATATTTAAATAGCTATTAACGATTATAAATTTTTTAAATAATTATTTGAAGCTATTTATGATAATAAACTTTGTTATAAATTTGCAATCAATTAACAAAATGTTCTCGATAGTTTTCATGTATCTAAATCCATTTGTATACATGTTTATAAATATTGTGTATAACAATACAAAATTTAAAAGAAGAATGTAACTCTAAGAAACATAAAACGAGTGCGTCTTAACAAAGCTATCTACTTTCCAGCTGAATGAGCTGCGGTTGCTGAAAGAAGCCAACCAAAGACTGAACGACGATAACCAGGAATTGCGCGATCTTTGCTGCTTTTTGGACGACGATCGTCAAAAGGGTCGCAAGCTGGCGAGAGAGTGGCAGAGGTTTGGCCGATACACAGTGAGCGTTATGCGACAGGAAGTCTCGGCTTACCAGAATAAGTTACGTCAACTGGACAATAAACAGCAGGAATTAATTAAAGACAATCTGGAGCTCAAGGAGCTGTGCCTATATCTCGATGAAGAACGCGGTGGTGGTCAAAGGGACGACGGCGACGGGTCGAGTTCGAGTACGAACGCCGAGGAAACTGCGCCACCGAGGCCGAGGCACACTTCCACATTTAACGGTATAATCTAGTAAAAAATGCAGACCTCTTTCTCTCTCTCTTATATTAAATCAATAAACGCAAACATTTCTTTTATGCGGAAGGAAATATGTTCAAGCATAATTTTAATTTAATTTAATATTAGAAGAATATAATAATCATAATTCGAAGAAAATGAAAGCTTCATAGAAAATGAAATCTTTTCTTAAACAAATCGCTGCCTATGTTTATGTAATATTAGTATGATACATGATAAATGAATACTGTGCAAATAAGTGCTTACTGTCATCAAACGCATAATCATATATGTGAAAGTATACGTTACGGTTATTATTTTAATGATCTTCTGGTATTTCGGAGTGATTTAGTTGCGAATCTCTTGCAGATCAAACAATGCAATACGTGAGGAGCTTGGAGCAACGGGTGAAGCAATTGGAAGAAGACAAAAGTGTTCTCCAGGCCAGAGCGCAAGGTTGGGAAGTGCTACCATCGGGTGAAGTTTGGGATAGTCCCGCGAGCCCGAACGACAATACTCATTTAGGAAGCCGACCGGAGGCCGTAGTGCGTGCTCTTCAAGTTCTCGAGGTCAGAGAACAACTGGAAAGAGAAGAAGGTCATGATGGTGAAAAGGCGTTAGTTAGAGAAATGTGCAATGTAAGTGTTATTCCTCGATTAACACGTAATCATTACGACACGGTCTTACTTTGAAAAAATATCTTTCAAATAGAAAAGAAATCTTCTTGATACGATTATTTTACAATGATTTGCATCTCTTTAAAATCCCCTCGAAAAAACTTTTTTTTCGTGTGAAACAAGTGATATGACATGTTCATTACGTTAATTAATGTCTTTTCCTTTCCAGGTCGTCTGGCGGAAATTGGAAGAAGGTCCGCAAGCGAGGCATTAATGATTGTGCCGGGAGAACAACTATGTGTTAATTTTGGAGCGTTGTTAATATGTAACAATAAGCTCTAACATACACAACATAAAGATAGCATTATAGTAGATAATACGCCTGATCTTTATTGCTGCACTAAACTACACTACTTGTAAGACTTTCTCGGTTTCGCCAAACTTTAAATATATATCTATTTCGTTTTAAGTACAACATAAAGTGTACATTAGTTCAGCAACAAAGAACTGACCTACTTTGGTGAAAATTTTTAGAATTCTTTATATGATTATTTAGAATTTTTATATAAAGATTAATTTCAGATTTTCTGTATAATTTTATAACTTTTTAGAAAATTTCTCAGATTTTTTTAATACAAATTCGAATACTTTTCAGAAGTTCTGAGAAAATCCACATCTTTTCTAAAATTATTCATATATGAATTTTAACATATTCTAAGATTTCTAAGATTTTCTCATTTTATATAATTTTTGAAAAAAACTTGTAAAATCTGAAAAAGTTTAAGACATTTTTTCAGCAATTTTTATAAATTTAAGATATGACAAATTCTGAAAAATACGAGAAATTATGAGAAATTTTTTCACCAGGGTAAACGATATTTTATGTAGATTTTTATACAATTGTACAAAAAATAATCTCGATATGAGAATACTGATAGTATCTATTTATGTAAATGTAGTTTTCGCAGATTGTTTATTAACAAAGTATTTTTACTATATAACGCCTATGATTTATTCGTTGTCTTGCTCTTTTCCTTCTTCTTTTTCATCGAAAATTTATTGTAAATACTTTGAGAAGCAATATAAATTATTTTACAAATAGCTTTCATATCTTTTCTTTAGCATTCCAATTGTAACGAAATTTCCAAAATTAGACTTACAGTATTTTCGAAATACTCGATTCACTTTTTAATTGACAAAATTGGAGATATCGGTAATCCATAAAGTCGTAATTTAACATCCATCTTTTTCGCAAACGCCATGAGTCAGGTAATTATCCATCGCGTGGAGCTGCTTTTCGAGGAAAGACATCCCCTCGGTGAAATTCAAACTATGAATACGCAAGCGAGTGTTTATATTTCTATTTTTATCTCATCAAAGGATTGCTTTCAATGGTGCGGGCGTTAGATTGCCCCACATACATCTCGGCTGCCTGCTACGTCGTCTAGTACCATCGTGTCAATACGAGGCAATTAGGATATTTTCCAATCTAGCTTCGATCAATTTTATCTCCTTCGATGTTTACTATATCTCTCACAAACTTAAAAACACTCGGAAATTAAAATCTTAGATAATTACTTACACCGAAGCTATCTACGTGATAAAATTAATGGAGTAACGTTTTTTTTAGCAAAGAAAATTAATTGGTTACAACAATATTCTCTAACCGATCGTTTATAGGTCTTATTTGTCTGAATACGTTGAAAAGGAGATATTCTTTGAACTGTTCATCTCACATCTCTGTATTTCTTCATAAATTCTTCGCGATCGCTGAGCTTGCGCCGTACCGGATGTAAAGCACGGTGGGGATCGCACGCAGCAGCCACCGGCTGTCGGAAAGATGAGTCGCCGGTGATGTGCTTGTGCGGAGGCCTCGCGGAGGACAACGCCAGGATTATCCTCCTTGCCGTTGTCCTGGCAGCGTACATGCTCGCAGGCGCGGCACTCTTTCAAAGACTGGAAAGCGATTTCGAGATACGACAGGTACAACAAATGTATCCGGATATATATATATAAAATTACTTCCGCTATAATTCTTAGAAGAAATGTAAAGTAAGGAATCACAGATCGAAAAAATGTGTCTCTTAAATTAAAATTAAGAGATTACAGTGATCTTCATATGAAAAAAATTGAATTTCTTTTTCTAAATTATGGTAATTCACATCAAATGAATCAATAAATTTTGTGTGTACTTTTGTACGTGATCGACAAATATATTTATTATGAATAAATATATTATTATGAAATCTATAAATCAGGATTGAAGAATTATATTCAACTTGATTATAGAATTATATTTAATTTCAGAATAGAATCACCTGATTTTTTTTACGTAAACGATCTAACAATCATCTTGGGTGTTTTTACATCTTAATTTATTTGCGGATTTTTAGGAATTACATATTTAAAAGCTAGTATAAAAAATAGTTATTAAATAATATGTTAAACAATATCCATTCAAAACAATATTTTAAAACAGAAAACAATAACATGAGAGCCATTAGGAGTCGGCGCGATAAATTAATACAAAAATTCATTTAATAATAATTCAATTAAAAATTTATTCATAAACTGTACATTTTGAACAGTTATAAATTTTTGTATTAATTTACTACCCTCCGTTTACCGTGCCGACTTTTAACGGCTCTTATTTTATTGTCGTTTTTATTGCGTTTAAATCAGGAGTTCTTCAGTGTTTTAAATCTGACGTTTCTATAATTTTTACGATTATTTTTTCATTGTTATTATATATATAATATATATTATATCATATTTATTTATTATATATAATATATAATATATATATTTATATTTATCTGTATATAGATAATTCTTATATTTATTGCTTTTTGGGGATGCGCATAGGCGACAGAATTCTGGCGGGTTTATCACGCGTTTCGGAAGCATCATCTGCGAGGTAGCCCCTTGGCCTTGCAGAGGCTACATGAGCTGCTATATGCCTACGGTAACGCTTCCGCTACCGGCATCATTAATAAGAGACGCCGCTGGGACTTTCCCGGTAGCTTTCACTTCGTTGGCACCATAGTTTCTACGATCGGTAAGAAATAGTGCAATATACTATAATGAGAATGCCAGTTACTAATCATCTGTATCCACAACGTGGCCGAGAGTATTGGGGTCAGTGGGATTTACCGGATTCATGTCGAGCACTTTGCTCTCTCGCATTTTTTTAGTTCCTTGTTCTCACGATGCTACGAAACAAATCGACTTTCGAGAAGACGCTCTTGCCCGATTCCGCATTCGAGATCTTAATATCTGTAAAAGTCAAAATTTTTTTATTACAATTATTCTTATTAATTTTAATCAGTATTCGTGAATCTAGCGGATTAAATTTAAGTTATATAATCTTATTTCTTGAATTTTTATCTTTAAAATGAAAAAAAATTGTATGATCTTCAATTAGACTCTGGATTAAAATTATCATTTACATAAATAAAAAAATAAAGAGGCTATCGTACTTCAAATAATTGCTCTTTCTTCTTTATTTCTTATATTCTTCGAGTACTAATAACTTCGCGATGTACCGCGTATTTATACACTATAGAGAAAAGGTTTGTCGAGGTGATCGCATTCCTCGGCAAAACTTGGTCATAATGACGTTAAGTAAGGGGATAAGGGTCGTCGGCCGGTGTATGCATGAGAATGTTCTGGTGAATTCCGGAATGCTAATATCCCGCGACCTAGTCTTGCATTTATCCACACGACTCTGGCTTGTCCTTTGGTCGTCAATCTCTATATATGTGTGCATTCGTCGCCGTGTAATATACTTCTGAAATGGAAGAAGCATGATGCTGAAATTACTTTGTAGGGTACGGAAGCACAGCACCCCAGACAACGGCGGGTAAAGCGGCAGTCGTTCTTTATGGTTTCTTTGGTTGTTCCGGTAATAAAAAAATCTACATTTATACTTAACAAAAACATAATAACAAAAAGATGTCTAAAAAAATCATAAGTAACAATAAGTAAAAATAATCTAGCTGTAACAAAACAAAATAAAATTTCACGAATCTAGAATGAAAACTTAAATACATTACATAGGCTTAGTTCCATCTGTAAGATTAATTTCGATCTCGGTTCACACAATTTACTCTATGAATACAAAAATATAAGTAACAAATTAAACCGAGATTAAAGTTAATCTTACATTAGTGAAACGGTGCCTTAATGAAGCTACTTGATTCTAACATTAAGTAATAATTTAGGCGGCATCTTATTCTTCAATCTCTTTTTGGAGAGAATTATTACTCTTCTGGCGTGGATCTTGCGCAGCTGGCATGTACGTCGATTGAGAAGACGTCTCCGCAAGACTACGTTGACATCCCAACGGATCCCTAAATCGTCGAGCACCCAGAGAACATCTCTGCCGGACATCCTTGACGATGATGACGACCATGTGAACCTGGATCAATGGAAACCGAGCGTGTACTGGGTCATGTTCTATTTATCCGTCACCTCCTGCATCGTCGCCTGTTGTGCCGCTGCACTTTACGCGCCGCTGGAGGGCTGGAATTACTTCGATGCGTTATACTTTGCCTTCGTGAGCTTCACCACCATCGGCTTCGGCGACTTTGTTAGCACACAACAGCCGAACTATCCTTACGTACATTGGTAAGATTGCGAAGATTATTTCGCCAAATCGAATTCGTATAATTTATTCAAGGCGCAAATTGAATTTCTGTAAACTAAACTTTTAATGAGAGATTCTAGCAAATTTTTTATTTTTCTTTAATTAAAACGCGCGCCAGTAACCTTTTCGCAAAGTTCTGAAAACGTAAATAAATGCAGCAGTTTTATTCCTCATTTATGCAGGTATAGATTGACGAATTTTGTTTTTCTCGTGGTGGGATGTTGCTGTATATACTCCTTGCTGAACGTCACATCGATCGTAATAAAGCAGGGCTTGAATTACGTAATACATAAATTACAATACGGTAATCGGAATGTAGCGGCGCCGTATTTACCAAGGAGACAGTCCTCCGTATCAACCGTATACTATTCGAAGAGGAGGCCGAACAGGCTTGTTGGTAAGGACTCGATTAGAGCGCAGGATAACTCAGAGGCGCCTCGCAGGATGTCAGGCGAACTGGTCTCCATGAAGGAATTCCTGTCCGCGAATAAAGTTCCTTTGGCTGTGATGCAAAAGCAGTTGTACGACGCCGCACAGAAACAAAAGGGTGGAGGATCGCTCGCTGCCACGCCAAATCACCAGGTGTTGAAGCCCGGAGCAGTGGGTCCGCTTGCGATTGCCAGCGAAAAATTTGAAAGCAAAAGCACGATAAACAGATAGAAAAATTATGGCATAATAGAGGCTACAGAAAATATGTAAAAGCGCAGTACATCTGTATCAATCGTATTTTTCATGATGTTCATCTTGCAAGCATTTGCCAATTTTTAAAGCAAATTTGTCGACATTATGTGTGCTATGTTGCCTAAAAATTATTAATATAGAAATTTATCATGATATTCTTGTGAACTTGTTCTTGCAAT